TATATATATATATATATATATATATATATATATATATATATATATATATAATTCAGAAAAATGAGTCTCTCTCAGCCTTGACATCTCTGATGCAACAGCCCGGCTCTCCTGAGGTGAAGAAGCCAGCAGTGACGGATAATAACAGTAAGGAATACACTCAGCTGGTCAGTTACTCCATAGTCCTGGACATCAAGAGTACAGTGTGAAGACAAAAAGACTTTGGAGTGACACATTCTGCTTTGCATTGTGCACAAACTGGATATGAAGGCTTACTGGAACTGCAGCATTTATTATTTCTGTGTATTTTCATAATTAGAAGTGAAATAATCCTTTTAATGAACTAAAATGTGAATTATTCTCATGTTTTTTTAAATTTTGACTGATTGGCATTAATGTCTTTAAAGCATTACCTTTGCACTTCTTCATCTTACTTGAATTTTGTATGTTTTTTTATGTACATTGTTGTCAATAAAATCTTCAGAATATTATTTTTAAAATAATTTTCCGTTTTTATTAAGTTGTTACCACATGACCGAACCAAAACAAACATCTCCAGATATAGTAGAGATAACTGACTTCAGCCTCCCATCATCTGCTCTTGTGATATCTTTGGTGGACTAAATCAGTGAGGACCGTCCGGTTGCTGTGACAACCAGAGTTAACTCTATAAATTTATTCTGTTAGTTTGTGAACCAGATGCAGACCCACTCACCTCATCCGCCCACGTTGAGTGGCAGTGCTGTTACACCCTCTTGTGGCAAATGATCACACACACAACTGAGTGAATCAGGTTTTAGTCACGACCACTAAGTCCACGGTCGCTATGAAATCAAAAAAGTTTCTTATTAAGTTTTCCCTCCGATTCTCTTAGATCTATTAAGTGTATGGAAGGTTTTGTGCCATAAAAACACGGCACTTTACTAAAAATAACTACAATCAGTGCTCCTGCCCTGTAAATCATACAGTCACAGATTCATTTTTATAAAATGTATATTTTATTTTTCACGTTTTCTAGAATTGTCAGTATTTTTCAACAGGACAAGCTTGACTTTAACGTGTTTTCGTGTAAGAATTAGTAAAATGGTGGCCTGTATATAATGTGGTGTATATATGTAGGTTTTCTTTCCAACAAAAGAACACTCAGGGTTATTTTTACTGATCAGCACATATCTACATTGATGTATTACATGAAAAACCATGTACGATTAATGCAGATAACTCAGCTCCCATCAAATCTGTGAACTACAGAGGCTTCAAAATGTAGCAATTAAAGAACGATACATTTAGATACAAATGTACAACTGCTGCTTTGGAAAACAGTAGATCCAAGCTGCACATTCACAAACACAATGCTTCAAAAGCAAAAGTATCACTGTATAACACATACATTGTTTGCATAAAGTCCTCACATACATTCATCTTTTCTTGTAGAGACAGGGCCTCAACTGCAGCCCAAATTTCTTTATATTTTCTGGAGCCTCTCCCGTCTTCAATAATTCAAAGGAGTAGAAATGAGTGCTCTCTGTGTCCTATGGGAAGAAGAAAAGGATAATCAAAACACAAATCACTCTTCACATACAGCCAGGCACTAGATACTGTAGATGTATTATATACCGGCCATTGTGTGGTTAACAGCTTCAGACTGAGCTGTTTAAATTATGTACGTCTAACTTTAATACATTTTAAAAAGTCTGTTTGTTGCCAACAATAAAGCAGTTTACTGAATAGATTTTCTCCCTGAGGTTTGCTGCCCACAGCACCACCACCTCGAACTAAATTATGAAAGATGCAGCTTCCAGCTGCTTATTCCCTCTTTGAGAAAACTGCCTTTAAAAAGGAAAATGAATCCTGATTTCATGACAATAAATATTATTGCATATTTTTCTATGTTTAAGATTTTACAGCTGGAAACAAAAGTGTAAAATTAAGATGTTTACATGTGAGACTAAGTGTTCGCTTCATCGGGGTTCTCATAATTAGAGTATGAGTTTACCATTTCATTTATCTGCATGCGTTAACTTCGTATATATTAAAAAAAACATGAGAAAGTAGGCGAATAAGGAAGTGTTTCTCTGTCCCCGATGTCCCTCGTTTGTTGTCTCACCTTGGTCACCATCTTGAATCCCAGACTTGCCAGCGCAGCGACGAAGTTCCGCACGTTCTCGAACCTGCTCGCCACTTCTGCTATTTTCAGGACTCCCCTACAACAAATGTGCAAAATCAGTTATCCAGACATGTACTATACACACACCAAAAAAACTGCCGTGCCCTGTACTAAATCAGTGTGACATATTTTACCCCTTCTTTAACACACGGTTGGCCTCTGCTAGGAAGTCTGCCAGGTTGGTTCCCATGAGAGAGAGGCAGAACACGGCGATGTCCACAGAGCCGTCATGAAGTGGGACCTGCAGAGACAATGCGTTTTATATACAACCGCACAGACTGTAAGTGGATCGGCACGCAGAAAACACCGACACACTCACGTCGGCCATGTCACAGACTGTGACGAGATTGCAGGCGGCTGCCAAGTCGAAGCTGTGCACTTTGTTCTTCACGCTGCGCGCGATTTTACAGTCGCCACAACCGAAGTCTGCAACCACCAGAGAGGGAGGCCTGAAATAAAAGATACATGATGTAGATAGTGGGAGGTTTGGACCCCCAACAGGAAATGTGAAGGATGTTAAATTATTTTTACTGTTTTGAGAAAAAGCTGAACTAAAGAAGTGTTTCTGTAACAATGCATTTTATGATATAGAATCTCCCGTCTTTGCGACTGTGATTTTTTTCAATTTATAATCCTGGTAATGTCGTTGTGTGTTTGGTTGTCCAACAAAGTTCAATGGAGGTGAGCAACCCAAGTGTTTTCTTTTCAAAAAGGACTAAACTATGATGTAAAAATCACAATCAGAAATATGTGTTGAGTCTCTGCAAAGTGAGCAACTAAATAATCTCAGCTCAGAGGCCCACTTTCTATCTCTTTGTAGCTTCAAACCGCATCCTATGGTCGTCTTCAGTGAATGGAGCTGGCTCAAGAGTCCCCACGTCAGAGGAGTGAGACTTACATTTCCTTTTGTTGTGTAGGATTTGGGTCGTGCTTGTTATCCTGTGACCCAAATTCTACCTCTTAGATCACGTGAGGACACCTGAGCCAGCTCCAGTTGCTGAAGAAGACCTCGACATGCAGTTGAAAGCAACAGAAAGCTATTAAAACTACTTTTGATCTTCGGTTATTTTACTATTCACACTGTTCTCAAAGGCCAAGAATGAATGTCCAAAATGTTGAATTAAAAGGCAAATGAATACATTGATTAGAACGTCTCACTTTTGTCGGATGTAAGAGATGATGGCGTCCAGTGGATTGGCGGGCCATCTCTGAACCTGCGCCGTGTATCCTCTGTGGTAGATGCCGAAGGCCTGTGGGTCCTGCTTGAACATGCGCTTCGCCTCGCCGCTGGACGTGCTGTACAAAACCTCATTAATGTATCGGAAACGGGCCGACTCCAGCCGCTGCTCCATGCGGGACCTCAGGGAGGCAGAGCGGTCCTCTTTCGCCTCTTCTTCTGGGGCCGCGGGCTCGTCTTTCGTCTCCGCGGGACTCTCCTGCTGGACCGGTTCCTGTCTGTGGAGCAACTTCCGGAGCTTCTCTCTTTTCAGAATCTGTTCTTTGCTGAGCTCAAGTTTCAGTCTTTTGATGGGCGGCTCACCTGCGATCTCCACTTCAGGTACATCTGCTTTCTGTTTCGATCCATCAGCAGAAGATTCAGTTGCGTTTTTTACAACTTTGCCACCAACTCGCTGCTTTTCCTCTCCGAGCGTCTGTGTGTCTGTTGTAGCGGATACATCTGTGTCCTCTTCAGGCCTTTTCATTTTCTGTGGTTTACTTTGCTTTTTCCTTTTCTTGGCTGGTGTCTGACCGTTCTTGTTTTTTCTGCTGCTATATGAATCTATTTTGACTTCTTCCGTTGGCTTGTTCTGCTCTGCAGATACTGCTTTTTTGGTTTCCTTCTCTGGCTTATTCTGACTGAATTTATTTTTACATTTCCTCTTGTTCTTCATTTTGGTTTTCCACTGTTGTCGGCTCACTCTCTCCGCGTCCTCTGCTTTGGATTTGATCATCTGTTCATCCGTTGTGCCGCCCATTGCTGTGATTTTTAACTTCAGGGCCTTAACTTAAGGGAGAAAAAAAAACATTTGGATATTATCTCATATTTGTGAACATCAACATTGTTGTTTATCAATCCAATGAATACTTCTCCACACTCTAAAATGTTGATAAATTGATGAAACGTAAGCCTTTAACCAGTGAATTACTCACCAAATTTGTTGTCTTTCTTCCTCTTTTTTGTTGCAAGTGTCTCCTCATTAACCGTCTGATCCAAGTCTCCATTGTCTTGCTGCTCTCCTGTTGTCTCCGCTTGCTTTCGCTTCCTCCTCTTCTTCTTCCTCTTCTTCTTGCCAGGTGATGGGACCACGTCTGACTCACTGTCGCTGTTCTGCTGATGGTCGTCGTTCTTCCACTCTGGTACTGACCCGAGTGTCTGCAGGGTCCGTAGCAGGCTCTTCTTTCCAACCAGCTTGGACTGATCCGGGGATAAATTCAGATAATGTAATAAGTCCTTTAACTGAAACATGCAGCCTAATGTTGAAGACTGTCCAATGTAGAAAGTCTCACTTTGTTTTTGTAAATGTGGGAAATCACATATTTAATGGCTTCTTGTGCTACAAATTACATTTCTGATTTGTGTGTGTCCACACTTGTAGGCTACAGTATCTTTGTTAGTTTTTTTAAATTCAATTATCTATACATTTCTTCATATCCAATTCAACATCAGCATCCGAAATGTTTCCCTGCTTGACTGTCGCCCAGAACAGAAAACAAAAACAAAACAATCTACAGAAAATCAGCTGTTAAATTTCCTAAATATCATCTGTCCTATTTAATGGTTTCACCATCTTCTGCTATGTTTGTTGGAGTTGCACAACTCAGGATACTTAATAAATACATAATACTGGTTTACCCCTTATTGTAATGCAGCTTGCACATTTACCTTGACATCCGTGCTGCTGCTCGCCTTCTGGGTGTTTCTGGGGACCGTTTTGCTCAGGACCTGAGCGTCTTGTTCGTCACTCCAGTCTTCATCCTCATTAAACATGTTTCCCGGAGGACTGTGAGAAACACAGAAACACACACACGAATGTAAAACATTGCTGGAGAGGAGAACACAACTGTGCTAATGTCACTTCTTCTCTATCAACGCGCTAACTCGGCTAATTCAAATAACTCACCAGTCTGTCTCGAGGCAGAAGCTACTTTACTTCAAACGGCTTGTTCCGTTGATGGCGGTGTTTGTATAAAAAGGTTTTCTGGAATAAACATGGAAATATATTCAATAGCTGTTTAAAAAATCTTGCCAAAAGCAAAAGCCACGTTGGTTTGTCTCATGTGCCTGAAGGAAGCAAAACACAACTACAGGCGCATGTGGATGACGCAGGCACACCAGAGACTTAGGGGACGTGTAGTTCTTAGATAGAGCCTACATTTTCTGCTCCTATTCAGGATTTGTAGAGTTCATAATTCAACTAGGCTATTTGTATCACTAATAATAATAATTATTATAATAAAAATCCTCATCATAAGCACTTGAATGAATGAATTAATATGTTTTAAAGTCTTGTATATCTTTACTGTACTAGATGCATTTTACTTAAACATGCTTGGATCTGTTACTGACAGGTTTGTTGACATGTAGGTTTACACATACAAGGACTTTGTATTAGTAATTTAGTGCATAACGGTCACAATACATATAGTAAGAGAAAAGGAAAAAAAAGTAGTGTAAATAGAAAAATATGAAATAGAAATGTACCGTAAGAATATGTAAAGTGTATGTTTTAAAGCAAAAGAGCTGTACAGTGTTAAAAAAGAGGGCGGAATGTGCAAACATATTGACTTAAAGAGCAACTTCAAATGTGAAATAATTCACACTATGAAGAATATGCACAATGTTTTTGTGTTTTATACAACAATTTTCCAGTTTTTAAACCTTGGTATTAAAGAAATAATGTTTTATTTGAGCTGTGTTTGTTTTAATATAGTTTAAATGACAAATAAACCTAAAAGTGAAACTAAAAACTGATGTCCAATCTGTAGGGAGACCATTTTGTGTTTGTACATATTCACTTTACAATTGAAAATAATAAGCATCATACCATTGGACATAATACCATAATATAAATGATATTTTGGGGTTATTTTCTCTCTGAACATGCACATAACTGGTGCAAAGCAAACAAGTAAATTTACACAAATAATGAGTTACTTTACTGGACTTTACTTGAGTATTTCCATGTTGTACTATACATACTTTACTCTGCTACAACTCAGAGGGATATGGTGTTCATTTTACTCCCCTACATTACCTGATACCTGTCGTTACTCTGCAGATTCGTTTAAAATAACCATGACCTGAGGCTGTGGATATTTAGACGACGTGCAGTGCTCTCCGCCGCCTGTAGGGGGCGGAGCGCTGTCTTCCTCATCTGAACGTTACCACGTACGTCCGTACGGCGGTGAGGGTGTGGACGTCCCACCGCATTCACTCTGCTGGAGACAACATAACGTCGCTAATAACTTCTCACCAAATTACTCAACAACAGGCGTTTGTACCCGGTAAGTTTATCGCCCTCGAGGCACGTTTAATATCGGGTTGGGCTGTTTGAACCACTAACGTTTACTGTTTATTGTGCCGCTCAGTGAAGCGTCAAACGAGAGAAAGGTACGCAGCGTTAGGCTTTAGGACAGTTAGCTTGTTAGCCAGGTCTCGTTTTAACAACCAGAGGATGCTAGCTAATGCGGGGAGCTAATGGTCTCACCTTTTAGTTTGATCAAGTGTAATGAAAGCACACGGTGGTGGAGCTGAAGGAAGAACCAGCTAACTTAAACGAGCTGTTCTTCTACGTTAACTAGGCTCAGCTAGTCGCACTGCTGTGAAGGCAGTGGGTTGTTCACGGTGAACTCACTACTGTGACACCAGAGTGTAGCTGTGTTTATGTTCACTACATGAAGAAATCGCACTGAGTCACAGAGTCAACCTCAGCGGATTAAAGGCATAAATTACCCTAAAATATAAAGTAAATAGTGTGGTCATCGACCATAGATGTTGTGTAACTTTGAGCTCTTGGCTTAATCTAACATCACGTTTGAAATGTGTTTCTTTATTCATAGTGATTGTGAATAAAAGTACAAGCATTGAGATCTCAGTACTCTGTTATCTTCAGCGATGTCTTTCAATTGTAAACAAACTGACATGTAGACAAACAATTGCTTTCATCATAGTCCAGGCTGTGTGAAACAGACATTTTTGATTATTATTGTAATTTTTTGAATGATTTATCTCCTTTCAGAGTTTAAGACAGCTCTCGCTGACATCTTCAAAGTGCTTGTTTTTGTCTGACCACTGGCCCCAAACTCCCCAAAGTAATTCAGCTAAGTTTGACACAAGAGAGAGAAAAGCAGTAAATCCTCAAAACTGAGAAACGAGAACCAGGTAATATTTTACTTTTTTATGATTATTAATGTTTTAAACAACTGATCTATTTTCAAAATAGTTGCAGATTCACTTTGCTCTCAATGAATCAACTTGGCTAACTGATAAATCAAATATTAATGTACGCGCCAATTCAAATATTCATACAGTACATAACAGTACATCATTTAGCGTGACTCTGGACGCAGATACGTGTCTACGCTGGTGTTCAGGGTGCTAGTCACAACCAAGTGTCGTGAGTCACCCAGTATTATGGGCGGGAACGATTACTCAACACTGGGCTGCTTGGCTTTCTTCTCTTCAGGTTTGCACCACAGGGTCATAACAGAGAGGCTTTATCAGCTGAGATAGAGATCAAACAGATTGAATAATGCGTTAACGGAGCAGCTTCCCTTCTTGTGTCCCATTTTTTTTTCAGAGGTGCTGCTGAGCTAACTCTGAAGGCGTCACTCGTAATCCCAGATGAGGGACTGATGCTGAACCCCTCGGGTCGCCTCTCTCGTCTGTCCCACTTCAGTTCTGCCTCTGCTCTGACGGGCGAAACCTTAAGAGAAGCAGAGTCCACCAGCCAACATGGACGATATCTTCACGCAGTGCCGCGAAGGCAATGCGGTGGCAGTTCGCTTATGGTTGGACAACACGGAGAATGACCTCAATCAAGGGTGAGCCAAAGCTTTCTTTTTGCTTTTACTTAAAAAAAAAAAAATGTCACTTTGTGATGCCATTATTCAACAATGATGTCACAATAACCATGGCCAAACTTTTCTTTTCTTTTAAACAACTTATCTATACAATGACTTATATGCATGAGAGTTGCTACAGTGTACATTTGTGATGCTAAATAAAGTAAATCAGAATCTCAGTTAATTAGGAGGTACACTGTAGTTTCATAATGTGTCTTTCTCAAACCCGATTGCCTGTGCAGGCGGAGAGCCCGCCTCTCCGGTCTCCAGAGATCGTGGCCTGTGATTGAACCCATTTCCTTGTGGGCACATGTTTATGTCCAGAATGCCAGTGGAGTAATTCAAAAGAGTAACGTTGGACAGGAAACCTGCTGCGATCGTACAGTTAGTCACGCTTTCAGTTGCTGCAATTGAATTTAGGCCTCGTGGAAAGTACGAGAAAGAATAGACTGAGAATAACTACAAATAATACTGCAGACTTCTGTAGGACTGGACATGTTTATTCTACAAAATATCTGTTTGATAGTTACAGATCGGTCAGACCTGAGTGGCTTCTGTATCCTCAGCTGACTGTAAAAAATACTTGGAGGAGTTCGCTTCCCTTTTTGACTCCTCTGTCCTAGATTTAGACGACCGGTATTTGTTTTTAGAGCAAACAAACAGGCTGAGTCAATCCTCTATTATGGCTGTTTACCTTGGAGCTTCTCTCTTTTGGTCCTTTTTACTGTTTCATGGTATGAACGTTGAGCACATTAACGTGTTGAGCTGTTTTTATGCTGAATTTCATATGAATTACTTTTTAAAGGACATGGTGTCAAGTACCCGAGGCTCCAAAGAAAGACGTTGTTTCATTTCTTTGATTATTGTTGCAAAGTTTAACAAAATAAATTTCTTAAAGAGATGTGACTGATAACACCCAGAAGATAAAACAGGGATTCATAGCTTTTATTACAATATTTTAATATACAAGAATAGTTTTTAAAGTATAGAAGTTAATTCATTAAGAAAACAAGTAAGTCAGCACATGTAAGATGCCAAATAGTCTCTTTCTGTTGCAGCGTTGTGGCGTTTGTTTTCCCCTTTTTAAGCTTCACTGTTTGAGCAGAAATTCATTGACATTTGTTCCGTCTCTATTTTTCACTTTACTCGGGTTTCCCCATTGTTGTAAGACGGTATGACTGCATCGAGCCCGTGTGGATGCATGATGCATTCCCAACATGTGACTCGTCCATTAGCTGATTGTATGTCGAGTTCCCCTTTTCCGGTTGATATTTCTCTCCCAGCGGGAGAAAAACACTTCTTCTCTTTTTGTTTCCCTACAGAACTTGCAGTTCTTTCCCCTCCTTATGTTTCCGTTATCCCACTAAAGCTCAGCCTAACGGATCCTCACTGTAACGTTTGCCGTGTTCCTGGACGGTCGCGTGTTTACACTGACGTAACTCGCAGAGAGTCGTAGTGGAATGCTGAATCTCCTTACAAGGAATAACACCCAGGCCTCGAGGGAGCCGTCTACCACTTACCAACACCGAGAGAGAGGGGAGGAGAGGATTGTAGCGGGGCAGGACTGGTGGAGTTATGTGTGACGAGACAGAGGATCTTTGTGTGTGCATGTATTTGGGGGGGGGGTATAGTGAATTTTTCAAAAGGGAAATGCACAGTAAGCCATAGCAGAGCCCATCACCATCTCCTCCTCCACTTCTGTTTCCTGTGTTGGTCTCCCAGTGGTATTAGATAGCTCCAATCATTTCCCTTCAACATTTCCTCCAAGTTTACAAGAGTTAATTACAAAGTTTAAAGCAAATCCGCCTCCAGTTATTATCTCTGTTCTACACGGCTTCTCTAGTTGGTGCAGAATGTTCGTACAGGTCATAGTTCTGTGTTGAAAATCAACATGTGGAGCGGAAGCAATTAGTCAGTTAATCGACGAGTCTGTAACTGTTATTGTTTACTTGAATAATCAGATGATAAAGTATCTTTGGGTTTTAGACTGTTAGTCCGACAATAGTGCAAATTCATCAAAACAAACATCATGTTGGCCTTTAGGAAATCATGACGCTATTCTTAACGTTTGATAGAACAAATGATTATTGAGAAAATAGTTGGCATGTCAATCGATTGTTTGCTGCAGCCCTAGTTGCATTAAAAACGGTGTCCATTACAAATGTAAGGGTTATGAGGCCCGTTTGTGTTGTTTGGCCTCAGACGACTAAGCTCAACGCTCTTGTGAGTTCTTTGGCCTATGCGTGTGTAATCGTGGCTTTGATGGTTATCTGTATTTAGTCTCCCGTCTAAATGTGCATCCAAAAGAAGTCCTGTGCACGTGTGAATAACAGTTTTAGCAGAACATTTCCCTTTTCCCCTCATGACTGTCGTGAACAGTAGGACAGCACGTATTAAAGGCGCTGTTTACCGTGTTGTTAAGATTGAGGCTCCTTGTTTGGGAAGGAGCTAGATTTACTGTGAAAACTGATTTTATACATAAGCTCTTTGCTGTGAGCCTGTTGCAAGCAGACAGTGATCGAGAGGCTTGTTGCAGCAGGTAGAAATGCTCTCAGAGGAATCAGCAGTAGCAGTATATGTGAATCAGGCAGAACAGACTGTCAGGTATGCTTTCCCAATTTAATTTAACAATACTCATTAAACCAATTTAGGATCAGTGCCTATTCATCATGGGTTTTATGCGACAGCTCTATTCTGCAGCTATTGCAGAAGGAAAATCTGAGATAAATGTATTGACCCGGAATGCATTGTGTGGGGATGTCCTGATTATGCTTTATTTTTTGGGCCCGATCTGCCTTTTCATATCGGGTATCTGCCGATATTGACTGCTGAGCTCTCCAGCGATCTGCTACAGAGAAGACGTATCGCTCTGTTGGAGTAGTTGGACAACAGCCTACTCTAGGTTGTAATGCGGTTTTAGAGAGCGGAGGGTTTTCCCTTACAAATGGTCTTCGGCTACGCTAAAGGAGAGCAGAGATGCAACACCAGCAGGCGGAGGTGGACAAAACACAGTCATCAAGTCTGCTGTTCTCATGCACTGTATGTTCAACTGTGTTTTATAGAGCAGAACATATTTCTTTGACTTTCCGCGAGACGACAGAATAAAGGATATAAATCCTACAGAAGTTGTTCTCTCTGTAGACACATTGTTGTTCTTTTCATTTGTTCGGTCCTGAGGCTTTTTAAAGGACCTGGTGGGGATGTCGGGTGCAGACAGGGGCTCTTCCTCTGGCTTATCCGTCTGCCAAACTGAGCACTGTTGGCAGGTGGAAGTGCCTGAAATAAATTACCGCAGCCAGTGTGGAGGGGGCGAGCCGGAGAAAACCCTGGCACTCAAGTGCCTTTGGGTTATGGGGATGAAGCTAGCTTAAGGGAGAAATCCATCCTATAAAAAGGGCCCCGAATAGAAAGGCACACACACAGAAAGCTGAGGCATGAGCCTCACTTGATGTGTAAGTACATTTTGAGCAGTTGTTTATAATAAATGATCTTTAGTCTATTACCAATGGTTGATGAATGATATGTGAAAAAACGATTACACTAAAGGCTATTTTGGACATTTGTGACAAACATAATATTAAAAAAAGGTTGCATCATTTCTCAAGATAGGAAAACAGAAACAATGAGAGAAGGAGAGTGGTGGTTCTTTTGGTCCATAGTTTCTAACTAAAATGTAATGTTGTCTGCCTCACCTTTTGACTTTCTCTTCAATCGTACATCCAAATGTCGGATTGTGAAAGAATGAATTCCCCAAATTCCAAGATGACATCTTCAAATGGTTTTTTTTTTTTTTTTTTTTTTTTTTTGTCTGTCGTCCAACCAACAAGCCAAAACTAGTCGCAGTATGTAAGATACTCAGTTAAAAATGATACAAAACAAAGAGACATCAAATCATCACATTGTAAGAGCGGAAACCAGAGAATTAGTTTTTGTTTGATAAGAGATTTAAACTTTCAAAATAGTAGCAGGTTGCTTTTCTGTAGATCGACTAATCGGTTCAGCTCTGGTTATTTGCAAATTGTGAATCTAGAATCTAAGATCTAGATAAATAAGCAGGTTGGTTGCAGTCTTGCTTCTAAAGAACAGAGCCACACAACCGTACCTCGTCCCCTAAACAGACTCCAGCTTAACACAGAAAACTTATCAAATCAGTGAAGTGGGTCTGTGGGGGAGCTCTTCTCTCATAAACTTAAGTCTAATTAGTTTTCTAGGATTTGGCCTTTTAGTCTGAGAGGAAATTGCATGCAGAGCAGATCTGGTGTGACTGCGGCGGGTCACCCAGATGTCTCTGTGGGGCTCTTGATGTTGTTTTGAACAGAGCTCTGCAGGATGTGTGAATACAGGCCAGCGAATTGATGGGGGGGCAGAGAGTTCAGATTCCTGCAGATTCATAATACTCCCTCAGTTCTGGCCTCACATTATTCTGCTGTCTGCCTACTCATAATTTCTCGAGCAAGTGCATAACTTTATTATCTGGAGGACTGTGCTGTGTTCCTGGCACAAACAATAAAGCCCTGATGGAAAAAGGGAGAGTGTATGTGAAGTGGAATGTGTCATCAGTGCAGCTGTATCAGTGGGAGAGAGAGGGAGAGGACGAGAGGACGGGGGAGAGTCGTGAGACTCTGATGAGGGAGGAAAATGAGTTTGAGATGAAGAGGAGGAGGTGACCACAGCCAGGCGGAGAGGGGAGGGAAATGATGAATGACAGCTGAAGGAAGTCTCTCTGGGCCTTATAAGGACTGCAGCAAATGCTCGGCCTACTGTTGTTGTGTTTTTCTTTCCTAATTGACTCTCTGTCACTCGGCTCTTACTGTGTCTCAATCTCTCAGTCTTTATCTCGTTGTCTCCGAGGAGGTGCGCCATCAGTCACTCTGTCATGTCATCGAGGCCACTGTCCTAACATGCGTTAGTGTCACTGAGACGAAGAGGAATGATGAGACCAGAGGTCGAGAAGCTGTCGTCTGAGTCTTGAGTTGCATCAACTTCCTTCTTCTGAGGAAGAGGACTAAAGTACAAATGAACAAACTCCTCATTATGTGCTCTCAAAGCTGAGCGTCACAATACTGAATAACCTAAAACAACATTATTTAGTCTTCCCATATGAGTCTAAATGGAGACTCAATGAAGGGAGGAGTTATTGCAGGACTGTTAGTTGCCAGTTTAATAGAAACAAATAATGTGTTTTTTAACTGAGTTATTCTTTCAAGCACTCAGAGTCTGCATACAATGCAAAGCAGCTTATTAAATTGATCATTTTCTTGTTGACCACCCAGTTTTCTCTCTGGAATGCACACTTGTCCTTTTTTTGAGAAGTGATATTTTTATTGTCAAAGCAAAACACACCCCGCTCCTAAAATACAGTTCCAGTTTGTTACACTTGGCCATGTACCAGTTATACCACAGAGTTGTTTCTCTCTCTCTCTCTCTCTCTCTCTCTCTCTCTCTCTCTCTCTCTCTCTCAAATGATACATAGAATAACTGCAAGACAGAGAGCCAAAGCCTGTGCTGAATATGAATTGTCCTCTCTCCCCGCAGAGACGACCACGGCTTCAGCCCTCTCCACTGGGCATGCAGGGAGGGCCGCTCCAGCGTGGTGGACATGCTCATCATGAGAGGGGCTCGCATTAACGTCATGAACCGGGGGGACGACACGCCTCTGCACCTGGCCTCCAGCCACGGACACCGCGACATTGAGGGAAAGGTGGGGTTCATGTAAACACTGGGGCACTGTCACTTCCTGGTTCCTTTGGTCATCATCCACTGTAAAAAAACAGATGACGTATGTCTTCAAATTGGCTTCATAAACACAGGATATTATGAAATCTAAAATGTTGTCATCAGCAGTGATGGATACAAAGGTTTTGTCTGGTCTTGCAGTTCCATCATAAGCACTTTTTAACTGAAGGGGGGGGCTGAGGGAGGCTGAGCAATGTGTCAGTGTTGAGGGAAAGTAGGAAGTAGAAAACCTGCTTACCACTATACTATACTATATATAACAAGCTATTTATGATGATGATATATGTTTATTAATCCTTTATTTATTCAGGGACAGTCAGTTTGCATGTGGCTGCGAAATTATTAAAGCAGGGTTTGAAATACAGCAGATCTGGTTGGTTAAATAATATGCACTGCCTGATTATTGTATTTGTTTAAAGACATGATATCTTGTAAGTGTATCACATGCCATAATGTGAGGCCTCTGCTCCAGGGTGTCTGATTTAGAGTTGCTGCCATGCAGCTATTGAGTTTAATGTTAGGCATGTCTCAATACCTCTGGTATGTGTCCACGGGCAAGACAAACCTCCACGATGTTTGTTGGCAGCATGAACACTCATCCCTGTGTACAGCCCAAACAAGATCTCACCAGCCTGGTTTAACTTAATCCTTTTGTTTCTGCTTCTCTTTCAGCTGATCCAGTGCAAAGCAGACACTAATGCAGCTAATGAACACGGGAACACACCACTGCATTATGCCTGCTTCTGGGGCCAGGACCTCGTGGCTGAGGTTAGTGCTCCCCCTGGTGGTGCTGAGGCTGAGACTTATCTTTTTTTTTCTGTGTAAATCCCATCACAATGAACTCTTAGCGCTGACATCAATCTGTCCTTTTCACTCAGGACCTTGTGACTAATGGGGCTCAGGTGAGCATCTGTAACAAATATGGGGAAACCCCTCTGGACAAAGCCAAACCTCACCTTCGTGAACTCCTCAGAGGTATCCCGACTCCCCCGTTACCACTTGCCTCATTCCAACAGGTTCAAATGCATTTTTGGGAGGTCTTTGTTTTCAATGTTCTCATTGCAAACTATCCCTCCACCACGCAGAAAAGGCTGAGAAAATGGGACAGAACTTGGCTAAAATTCCCTTCAAGGACACGTTCTGGAAAGGCACCACCCGAACTCGACCCCGTGAGTCACACGCACACACACGCACACACACGCACACACACGCACACACGCACACACACGCGCGCGCACGCACGCACACACACACACACACACACACACACACACACACACACACACACACACACACACACACACACACACAC